TTGGTTGGGCGTTGTTCAGCAAAGCAAAGGGTTGTGGGTTTCATTCCCCTGTCAGGGCACATGCCTGGGTTAAGGGATCGGTCCCCAGTCAGGTTGCACAGGTGAGGCAAACCCCTGGAAGTTTCTCTCCCTGTCTTTCTCCTCACCTTCCCTGCTCTCTAAAAGTAAATAAATACATATCATTTAAAAAAATCACACCTATTTTTGTCAGATCAGCCAAAATAATATATCTTTTGGTGTGCTGCAGAACTTTAGTAATTAGTTTATTTGTCCCATTAGATGAAAAGGCTGACAATCGCTGTTCTAGGTGGATGCATGTTATAGAACAGACCCAAGGGGGGGTTCAGTATACTGTTACCGAAATGATCCCCCACTAGGTTCCCTATGCCTGCCACCAGATGAAAGACGTCTCTCAATGCCAGAGATTTGGGAGAAGGAAAGGACATATTTACTTAAAACTTATACAGACTATAAGTCCTTTAGGGTACCCACAGAGACACACAGTCCTTCCTTCTCCCTTTGCCCTAATCTGAGCTGCTGTATCTCAGGAAAAGAACTAGAAGTCCGCCATTTGAGCTCCTGGCACCATCAGCTGTGTCACCACCAGGATCTCCAGTTAATCCAGAGCCATGTGGCACCGTCTCATGGCCCACCAGCAAGAATCCTTTCACCCCTTTTCTTCCAGGCAAAGTCTCTCCTGCTTCCTAAGCCATGTGGTCCCCACTCTGCCAAAGCCGCCCGATTCTCCCCTCGCATGGCTGCTGCATCTGGGTTTAAATTCCCACGCCAGTCTTCCTCTGCAGCTCCATTTCCCACTCCTCCTACAATCGGTTACACCTGCCAGCATTCCTGTATTGTTCCAGCTTTTCTGGGCTGCCATAATGAGTTTGGGCAGGCGTGGCCCCAGGGCAGGAAGCCATCCTTCTCTAAGCTCTCATGTAGGTGCTATAACCAGGGCAAGTTGCCTCCCAGTTACATCTTGGGTGGAAGTCTCTTCCATCCCCCTGGCTCAGAGCATGGCCACAGCTATTTAACATATCTATGCAACCACTTAAAAGTTATAGATATGTTAAATGGCCATGCCAGAGGTTAGCTGCAAAGCTGGTGCTGTAGGAAACAGCTCTCAATGGCCCTGCTCCATCTGTCCCATTCCCCCAGCTCAGACTTGTGGGGCGAAGACATCCCATATATATTTTTCTAATATTTCCTGGACACCTTGAGTTCTGGACCCCATTACAAATGCCTATTTGGGGCCCCCCTCTTACCCTCCCCCCTGTTACATGCATACCCGGGAGTAGTTGCTGAGTTGGTATGTTTAAACCTTGGGAAGAACTGCCAGACATTTTCCCAAAACTTTAAATCTACCTTTAAGTCAGAAAAAAGTAAACCTGTATCTCGTTATTGTGAGAGATTTAATGGCTCTAAGTAGGGACTTTAAGTCTGTATGTAGAACACAATAGGGCTCAGTAGTGCTGGCTTCGGCCCCAGTACATGTCCTCTGCCCCGTCAGAGGAAGGACAAGGCGGTCGGCAAGCACCGAGGGGAGGCACCCGCGGGGGCGGGGAAACCTGTCCGGTGCGGAGCTCAAGGCCCGCACTTAGGGTGCAGGAGAGCCAACCTTGGCGCTCACGCCCTGCATCCAGATCCTGCTTCCTCCGGCCCAGCCTGCGCCCTTGGCTGGCTGGGCGCTTGCGCCATGTAAACTTTGCGAGTCACCGAGGTTTACTGAACACTGTGTGCCAGGCTCTGGGCTCCCAAGAGAGAACGACAGAAAGCCTCTTCCCTCCTTTAAATTACTCTGCGAGAGGAGGGTCGCTTCTCAGACTTGGAGGTCTGCCGCCCACTTGGTTTCCAGCCAGACCCTGGACTTCCCCTGAACGTTGCTCGAAAGGAACAAGGAAAAAAAAAAAAATCTCCTTCGGGTCCCAGCAAGAACTTAGGTCTGTCCAGAGCGAGGGTCCAGCGGATCCAGTCCCCAGTTCCCCAGTCCCAGGCCAAGCGTCCACCCCGGCAGTCCAGCTGCCCCCGCCAGCCGCGAAGTCCCGCCCCAGCAGCCCGCCAGTGGCCCCGCAGCCCTGGCCCGGCCCCTGCCCCTCCCTCCGCGCAGGGAGGGTTCCGGGTTGTAGGTGACGGTCGGTGGCTGTCCGCAGGTCGCCGGGTCGTGGCTACCCGAGGTAAGATCGCCGTCCCGCGCACTCATTCCTTTGGGCCAAGGGCGCACGGACGCCTTTCGGGGAGGCGGCCCGCGGAGGCAGGAGCCAAGTGGGACTCGGAGTCCGCCGGGGCGCACGGGATGTGGGGCGCGCGGGGGGCGGGGGAGGACACAGGGCGCGCGGGGCTCGGGGCAGCGAGGGCTCCACGCACCGCATCCAGCACGGGGGGTGGGGGTGCGGAGGCGGGTTCCGGGGCGTCTGCTCGGGCCGTGGCGGAGGTGAGGCCGGAAGGAGACGGCTCGGGCGGCAGGGCTCCTCCCGCCGCCCGCAGGCCCTGCGTGACCCCGGGGCGCGGCCTACTCCGGGGGCACTAACCTCAGGCGGCAGCTGCAGAGCCTGGCAGTGGACGGGTACCGCCCTTCTCTAGGTCTTGACAGTTTTCGATGGTGACAGCCACTCGGAGGAGCGGCCTCCCTCCCTCTGTGGTCCGGGGCCCGGCCCAGACACCCGGGAATCGGAGCCGAGGCGGCGAGGCCTGGCCTCTCCCGTGCGGTTGGATACTTCTCTCTTCAATGCGCTCGGAGCAACCAGGGCAACCAGCCCACTCCGCCGCCTAGGTTCTCCGAGACCGTAAAGAGGGGGCAGGGAAACTGGGGGGGAAACAAACCAACCCAGAACGACGTTCTCCGCACAGATGTTGAGCAGCCTCGAAAACATCAGGGAGGGGAATCAGCGACCTGATACCATGGAGGGCACGGTTAGAGAAGTTCCTCGGCCCTTTCTGGTGAGAGACTGCCGTTTCTCACCAGAGAAGGGACTAAATGTTGCATCCTCCAAGGCACAGCCTCCCTCAGCAACATGCTGCAACAACGCCCCCCTCCCCCGCAGCCCCAGCTCAAGCAGTGACCTTGGCAGGCACTGGGCTGTGTGAGTCTCGCTGGCTGCAGGGCCTCAGTGCCCTGCAAAGTCTATGGTGAGCTGCAGCGCGGCAGGAAGTCAGTTCTAGGGTCAGACCCTGTCAGGGCCACCAGTCAGCTGTGCAACTTGGCATCACTTCTGCTCTCATGGGATTGTGGCAAGGATTAAATGGAAATTACGATGTGCCTGCCTATAGTGGATCCTCAATAAATGTGAAAAATATGGGCTTCCTTTCTTCTTGGTGGGATCATACATATCATGAAACCCTATCCCCCAAACTCTGAGTCTTAAGGGCTGAGGCTGGGATGCAGAAGAATGTATCACCTTTCGCCTGGTATATTCCTGGATGTCATGGGAGGGAAGGAGAAATGGGTCTTTTCGGTGCCAGAGTTGTTCTTTGCTCATCTCCTGAAGCCTCCGAGGACCCCTGCCCCACCTCCCTGATCCTCTTCACCTCTGTCATGAGCACTTGCCTCACCAGGAATGTAACTCCTGGTTGGTTGGCAAAGCAAGTCATGCAGCTGTGCCAGTCTCTTTCCCAGGTGATGAGGAACTGGTGAGCTCAGCAGCTTTGGGGCACTCTCTGCTCTGAAGCACTGTCTCCTGGAGGTCTCACTCAGGCCTGCCACCCACGTTTCCACTCCAGCCAGGCCTTCTCTGCCCCTTCCCTCCCTGAAAGCCCATTTGGACATCCAGTAGCATCTCAAGCTTCACTTGTTCCGAATGGAGCTTGGGAGTCTCTCGACATTACTCCTCCCCCTGAATTCCATGGCTGGCTAAATGGTACCATCCATCCACCCTGCACCCAAGGAGTCATCCTTGATTCTTCTCTTTTCCTCACCTCCCAAGTCCACAAAACACCAGGAATTCAACCATCTCTTGCACCTCCATGGTTATCATTCCAGTCATACTCATCATGTGTTTGTCACCTGCGGTGGCCTCCTGACTTGTCTCCCTGTGTCCATCCTGGCCCCTCCACAATCCAAGGTCCTTACAACTGCCACAAAGGTCTTTGACATAAGTCCTCTCCCTTTCCTGCTCAGAACCCTCCAAGAGCGCCCTGTTTCCCTCCAAATAAAACCCAATAACATGATACGTGAGTCCCTTCCAACCTCCTTGACCTTGATCTCTGCCTTTCCCCCTACCTTCCTAACGCTGGCCCACCTGGACTAGCTTTCTATTCTTTAAACATATCAAACTTGTTTCCACCTTAGGACTTCTTACTTGCTGTGCCCTCTCTGCCCAAAACACAATCTCACAGGCAAGAATGGCTCTGCTCAAATGTGGCCAATTCTGAAAGGCTTCTCTGACTATCCCATTTCAAGTGGTGTGCCCTTCTGCATGGGCTCTTTCCCTTATCCTGCTTTATTTTCTTTGTAACCTTTATTACTATCCGGGATTCTTCTTCATGTATATGTTTACTAATTTGCTATGTGCCCCACAAAATAGAATATAAATTGGACGAAGACAGAGATCTTGTCTCATTCCCTGCAGCTCTCCCCAGGGGGTGAAGCAAATAAACAAACAGACGCATCTGTAATCACAAATTGTGGTAAGTGCTACATAAGCAACTGCCAGGAATTGCTTGTATTTGAGGCACTGGTAAATTTCAACTTATAAGGCAGAACAGTATTGTCTGAACAAGCTCTCTGAGCAGTTTCAGGATAAAACTGGTAACTTGCCCCAGGTCAACAGTGTGCGCAGGGCAGAGGGACTCAGCCTCCTGTCCTAAGCACATGTATGTAGCAAGCTTTAAATGGTGAACCTGCAGTAATGCCCTGGAAAGAGCCTGATCCCAGAGACTGCGGTTCTCTGCTGTTCCACTAACTGGCAAACCCCCTTCTTTTCTTAGTACTTTATTTTCTTTACCTTTCAAGTAGGATGGATCCCATGATTATCACGTTGGGCTGCCGCTTCTTGTTTTCCCAGGGTACTGCAAAGGAACAGCACCTCTAGGTGGAGCCCTCTGGCTCTCAGCGGCTAGGGGCCCACGCACACTGTCCACCCGTCAGAGCCCTCCGTCACTTCAGAACCTGAACAGTGATGACGGTTGCAGAGGACAAGACTTACGAGTATATCCGCCACCATTTCCGCAATTTTTACCATATTCATGTTCTGGAGATTCTGCCTTACTTGTCTTGCCTCACAGCAAGTGACCAGGTGAGCCAGGGTGTGACAGCCAGCCAGACTCGGGGGCCAGGGCCATGGACTTCAGAGCTTCACCCAAGCCAGCTCCCACTCCTTCCTTCCCAGTTGTCTATCCCGCTTCTTGCCCTTGTCCCTTTTCTAACTTTCAGAATGAAGTGTGGTTCAGGCTGGCTTTCCCCACTCTCCTGAGCTCCCTCTGGTGTTGTTTTGGTGTAGTGCTCAACAACGTGGCCCTCGGCTGCCTGAAATTTGCATTCCGGGCCCCTCACCAACTTTATCAAAACCGGCTTTTTCTTTATCTCGTTTTGTTGGCTCAGTTTAGAGTCAATTCTCCCCATGGGATCCTGTTCTGGTATGAAGCCCAGGACTCAGCTTTGAGAGTTTATGAGTACCAGACCACCCTAGCCCCCTCAGAGCCACCTGGGGTCCCCTAGCGAAGTGGGCCAGACCTTTCCCAGCTTTTGCTGTTCTTAGATCGAACCCCCCTGTTCTCTGCTTCTTCCCCCACAGATGCCCCGCAGATGTTGGTAGCACCAGTTTGTGGCTGATTGAGCTTAGTGGGGATACTTTGTTACCTTGTTGTTTAAAGATTTTATTGATTTATATTTAAAGAGAGGGGAAGGGAGGGAGAAAGAAAAGGGGGGGAAACCTTGATGTGCTAGAGATACACTGATAGGTTGCCTCTCTCACACCCCCAACTGGGGACCTGGCCCACATCCCAGGCATGTGCCCTGATTGGGAATGGAACCGGTGACCTTTCGGTTTGCAGGCCAGCACTCACTGCACTGAGTGAGCCACACCAGCCAGGACTCGTTACCTTGTTTAACAGTAAATGTTTTCTGTGCCTGCTGTCTGGTTGCTTGTTTGTATGTGGGAATTCAGGTGGATTTTAAAACTGCAGCTGCTACATTATCCCAGAGTCTCCCGAGTCCCTCATCTCTCCTAGTTCGTGTTGTTGGCCTCTCTTCTCCATTACGTCCTTCTTCATCCGCTGTTTCCTACACACCTTTTCCTCCTCAGCTAATCTAAACCTTTGTACCTCGGAGGCTGTACAAACAAACCGCAGGCTTTGGCACCAGACCATCAGACCAGCCGCTGCAGAGTCCTGCCCCGCTGCTGCAGGGTCTTTGCTGCCTTACTGTGCAAAGTCGCTGTTTCCTCATCAGCAGAGTAGGAATAATTGCATTTTCGTGAAATAAGATAATTCATGAAAAGTCCTGAGTTGGAGAGCCCAGGGCACAGGAAGAGCCTCTTTCTTGGTAGCTGCTTTTAAACTGGAACTCAACCCCTAGCCTTGTCCTGAGTTCTGACCCAGTTTTACATGGCTGCCCCCCCGCCTGCCGCTGTCCCCTCTGGGGTGGGGAAAGGGCCAGGGCCACCTGGCTTGAGCAAGGTCGTGGGCTGTGTCTTCCAGGATCTACTGCGGGCCCACTACAATCTCAAGGGGAACCGGAACACTATCTGGGAACTCTTCAACAGCCTTCAGCGGCGGAGTGGTTGGGTGGAGTCCCTCATCCGGGCACTGAGGGCCTGCGAGCTGACTGGTCTCGCCGACGAAGTGGCCCACGTCTACCAGAGCAACCTGCCCTGTAAGCCTCCTGCCCCGGGCCTTCTCTTGGAATTCCTGCCTGGTCCCCTAGCCTCCATGTTCCCTGTCCCCTCACTCCTGTACCTCTTTCCTTCCTCCATCACCCCTGGGCAATAGACAAACCTGGGTTTCGATCTCAGCTTAGCTACTTATTAGCTGTGTCCCTTTGGCCAAGTCCCTTAATTTCCCTGAGCCGTGGTCTTCTCCTCAGTAAAACAGGGCTAATGGGGTCATCTGCCTCGTGGGGCTGCAGTGGGTGCCAGGGGAGGTTGGCTTTTCTAGTGCTTTGGCGGGGCCGGGCCCCTCCCAGTGCTCAGCACATTGGGCCTCCTCTCATTTTTGTGGCTGTGACATTTGCCTCTCGGTCCTGTTCTCACTTCCTCCTGTCTCCTCGCCCTCAGTTTGCTTTCTTTCTCTGCCCTCCTCTCTCCTCCTTCCCCTTTGCAGTCTCCTTTCTCTCCCTTGTGAGTTTTCTTTTTCCCTCATCGCTTCCCATCTGCTGGCTTCCCTTAGCCTCCTAAGGTTCCCCACCCCAGTTGCCCCTTGGCTCCTTCGGATACTCCCAGCCACAGATGCCCGCGGGGGGTTCTGTGAGGTCGGGGTCTGAGGAACCGAGACAGGAAGAAAAGGCAAGCCAGCGCCAATTATTTGTATGTCAGACTAGACACCACTCCTGAAGTCCCGGCTGGATTCGGAGCCTTAGAATGTCCCCGTTTGTCTTCCGTTGCTTTTCTGTGCCTTCCGTCCTCCCCTTCTGCCTCTCCTTTCAAACATGTGTCTTCATTTGTGGAGATTCACAGTGATTCTCTAAATACAGACGGCTGCGGTGGGGCCCGTGCTGAGTGGTGGGAGTTACGGAGGAAGGGCTGAGGAGGACACCGCATCGGGTCGGGGGTCAGTGGGTGGTGACAGACACCCACGAGGGGGAGAAAGGCACTGGGTCCCAGAACGCCTGGGGGCAGGGAAGCGGTAACTGCTGACCCAGTCTGGGCGGCCAGAGACCAGCGAGGCCCCCTGCACGCTCCCCCTCCGTCTCACTCCGCCTTTCTCTCCTTGTCCTCCCCAACCCCCGCCTCCCTCCTCGTCTGCCTCCCACGAAGCGAAGCCTGTCTCCTCCGAGGAGTACATTCTGTGTCGGGGCAGCCCCTGGCGCCGTGGGAGTCCAACGGCCATGGCCCTGAGGGTCGGTCCAAGAGCACCCAGGCCTTTCCCCGCCCTGGGGACACACCCGACTCCTCCGTGACATCACTGTGTCTTTGTCCTCCAGTGAACCAAAGAGGCCCCCAGCCGTCAGCTTCAGCTGAGGCTCCAGGGCCCTCCGCGCCTGCTGTGGCCTCCAGTGCCTCCCACGACAGCTATAGAGACGAGGAGTCGAGTTACCCCATACCCGTCCAGGACACCCAGTCGCCAGCATCCCTGGGAGAGGTGCGTCCTCACCATCCACCTTCTACCCTGTGCTTTGTGTTGCCACCTGCCTGCTTCCGCTCACCCTGCCTTCCAGGAGCCCTCTCCTGCCCCCTGCAAATTGTGCCTAATCTCTGATCAGAACCCAGGGCCCCCCTAGTGGGGATCTGCCCCAGACCAGCTCCCAGACTGCTGACCAGGGCTTTACTCTGTGGCCCCAATCTTCTCATCAGCCAGCTGTGAGGTCCCAGGCTGGGGTCTTTGCAGTGGTACTTGTGAGGTGTCCAGGGACCAGCAGCTGACCAGATGAGGGGGAGTGAGGGGCCAGAAGGTGATGGGGTAGTGGGTGGATGGTGGCACTATAATTATTGCCAGTAACGTGAACTTTCGGAAAAGGTGACTGACTCTATTGGGATATGATGAATGGGCAGTGGGTGCCCAAGAGACACAAAACCGTGCATGTGAAGCGCAAGAAAGGGGTCTATGCAAGGAGGGCCTTACAGAGGGGGACCTTTCTACAGGGCCAGGCAGATAAGGACTCCCCAGGGGATGGTACGTGTGTGTTATGAGGTGGGTTGAAAGTCACTTGTAGACCGAGGGCCTGGCAGGGACCGAAGTCAAGACAGCAGCTTCCTTGTTTCCTGTGCTCCGTGACATGGGCTGAGGTCTGTAGATGCTGCCCTATGAACATCACCTGTCCTTTACCATCTCCTGGGAAAAGCAACTACCTCATTCATATTTTCCCTCTTGCAGAGTTCCAGGAAGGGCCCACAGACACCCAGCCCTGGGACTGTCCTGAGGAGGTCCAGTGGCCCCCAGAATCCTTCCTCTGACATGGCAACCCTCAGCCCTCAGCCCTCCAGTGGGCCACAGGAGCAGGACTCAGAACCGGGCAGTACCCACACAGAAGGTATGTGTGGGACCTGTAATTCTAGGGCCTTTCTGACCTCTCAGTGAGGGTGAGGGTTAGAGTCGTCCCTCTGGCTTTTCTTGGACAAGAGGCAAGGGTGGGAATAAAGGGAGCGTACCCCAGGGAGCAACCCAGTTCCTTAGAGGGTGTATTGGTTAGCATTTGCTGTATAACAAACAGTTCCCCAAATTTAATAGCTTAAAATATGCCTATTTATTTAGTTCACGCCTCTGTGGGTCAGCAGTTTGGGCTGGTTCAGATCTTGGCTGAATTCCGTCTTGCGTACACACTGGTGTAGCGTGTGGCTGTTGTCCGGGGCACCTTGGTTCTCTTCCATGAGTCCCTCGTCCTCCAGCAACAAGCTCATTTGTTGGCACCTGGGGCACAGGCTCAGAACTGGCGCAGTGTTCCTTTGGCCTCCTCCTGTGGGCCAAAGCAAGTCACAGGTCAGCCCGAAGTCAAGGAGCAGGGAAATACTCTGTCCTTCAGTGAGAGGACCGACAAAGTCACATTGCAGAGGGTATAGATACAGGTAGGAGAAGAGAATTAGGGCCACTTCTGCTCTCTACCAAAGGGGCTCTGTAGGGATCTGCCAGCACCTGGGGGGTAGCACGGAAGGGAGAGTATAGGGCTGGGTCTGCTCTTGGCAGGTGAGCCCTTGGGAAGGGCCCTGCCATAAGATGGTCTCTAGCTCCCCCAAAAATCACTAAAATTTCTCATCCCCCAGAGGAAGTGTGGTCTTCATCAGCCAAGGGCCTGGATCCCCACACCAGACCTCAGTGTTCTCCCTCAGGAATGTGCACACACAGGTCCCACAAGGTTCCGTGGTGTTATATTTGGGGCGGAGGGAACATCAGAAGGATGCCTGGCCTTTGTCAGCCACGGGGCCTGGCATGTGCATTCTCAGAGTTCCACCGAAATCCTGATTGAACGGCTTTCTGGACCGTCACTTCCTGCTCCCTTCCGCTTCCCCCAGAGCAGGCCCTTCTCCCGGGGGTGGGTTTCCCTAGGAGAGTTGCACACGCTAGGGGTTGGTTGGTTGGGCCACTGGGACCACAGGACCGGTGTGAGCTCTTCCGCTTGAGCCGTCCTGCTGGCCCTTGCCCTGGTCCAGGATCGCTCCTGCTGGGGGTGGGGCGGGGAGGAGAGATGGCAGTGGAAGGAGTATCCAGGATTCCACCGGGCTACGGAAAAGGTGGAAAAGGTGGAAAAGGTAGACACAGGAGGAGAGGGAGGGTCTCCCGGGCAGGAGAAGAAAAAGCAGAGCAGGTAATGAATGATATTCAAGCTCCTAGGGGCTGTGGGAGAGAACAGACTCAGGAGGACAGGTCAAGGTGTGTGGACAGACAACACCAAGTATGTGCCTGCAGCTGTCGGGCCTTGAGGCCTGGGAGCAGTGACCAAAGGGACTGTGGAGACTCCTCCATGGGCAGGAGGCTGGGAGGCCTTGATGCCATAGAGATGGTGTAAGCTGGGGCAGAGGGGCCCTTCTCCAGACCGCTGATTCCAGCCTTCCTGTGGCTCTGTGTTTCTCCTTTAGCTTTGCCACCTGCGGGCACGGTCTCCAGCCTCACATCGTCACCTCATGGGCCCGTATCTCCGACTGTGTCCTTCCAGCCCCTGGCCCGTTCCACCCCCAGGGCAAGCCGCTTGCCTGGACCTGCAGTGTCAGCTCTGTCTACCGCCACCTCCTCCTCCTCTGTAGGGGGTGCTGGTGGCCAGGCTGAGGCTACTGTCTGCTCCAGTGGGGTAGGGGTGCCCACCAACTCTACGACCACCAGCATAGCGCCCTCCAAGGTGCCCACCCACTCGGCATTTACCAGCACAGTGCCTTCTAACTTGCCCACCTGCTCAAAGCCTCCCACTAATGTGCCCACCAGTCTACCACCATCCAAATTGCCTATCAACACAACACGCGCTGGCACAGTGCCACCCAAGGTGCCTGCTGGCTTGGTGCCTGACCACAGGATGCCCACGAGTTCGGTGCCCAGCAAGGTGCCTGCCAACAAAGCACCCCCCATCAGGAGCAGCAACAGACCCGCAGAGGTGAGTCCTCGCCCCTCCTAGCAGTGATCTGGGCCCCTTCCCTAGCCCTGTCCTTGGCCCCTGCCCTGTCTCCATTCTAGGCTGATCCAGGGCCTCCTTTAAAGGTATAGGGATCACTGAGAAGTAGCCTCATCCAGACCCCGCACTACTCCTTTGGAGTCATAATTAATAATCATTCGAGCTCTTAAGTGTGGATGCCTCAGGAGAGTCAGGCATGGTGGGCCACCCCCACTGGTCACGTGTGTTAATCCATTTAGATTTCCCAGCTCCCTGGTAAGCTTGGTAATTCCATTTTGCAGAGGAGGAAGCAGTGACGGATAGGATGGGATGGCCTGTTGGTCGCGACAGCTCCGTGACCCGGGTTTCACTGACAGCAGTCCCAGCCCGTCCAACCTGGGCAGCTGCTCTGACCCAGCGGCCCTCCCACAGTTGTCCCCCCTCTCCAAGCTTTCACATACCACCCTACTTCTGCTGTCTGCCCAGAGGAGCCAGTCCCATGGAGTCTCTTGAGTGCACAACCAGGCCTCTGACACTGTGGCTGGCCACTCCATGGCCCTCAAGCCCGGGCAGAACGTTGATGCAAGATGAGGCCTCACACCACCAACGGCTCCCAGGGGTGGGGCTGAATTCACAGGCAGGCCACTGAGTAGGGACTGAGCTGCCCTGGGGGGTCACCACCGATGCTGTTGCAGTGCCTGGGTCCCCCTCGTATTGCCTGCCTTCCTGCACTGTCAGTGGGTTGGCTCCCTGAGAAAAGGTGGCCTCCCAGGCACTGTGGGCTGGGAATTGTGAGGTTGGGCTGCTAGTTCATGCCCTGGCCCAGGAATGAGGCCGCACAACCTGGCTTTTCCCCCCGTCACCCCCAGTCCCGTCTATCCTTTCTCTCTCTCTCTTTTTTTTAACCAGGAGACACCAGTGTCTCCAGTGCCCACAGGTGCCCCTGCTGGAGGCAGCTCGTCGAGTGCAGACAGAAGCTCTGACAGCTGGGGCTCAGGGCCAGAGCTGAGCAAACCAGGCAGGCTGTCTTCCCAGGACAGCCCGCTGTTCTCCGGCTGCTCCGAGGACCTTGCCATTAGCAGCGACTCCTCGGGCCCAAAACCTAACAATGCCCCAGAGGAGAATGAGTACAGTTCGGTGAATGGCCTGAGCATCCACGTGGCTGAGGGTCCCAGTGTTGACCTCATGGCGGGCAACTCTGGGGTGCAGGCTGTCCCCCTGCACAGGGCAGAGGAGGAGGAGGAGTCCCAGCTTGTGGGGACACCAGTGCCATGGGCTCCACAGGCTCTGTGGCTCGGGGCGGCTGCTGCTGGGGCGCTCCTGGCCGCACTGCTGGCTGTGCTGTACCGGCGGCGCCTGCTCCAGTGAGGCCCCTCTGCTCTCCCGGTCATGTATCTGCTCCCTTCCCCTCAGTACATTTGGCCTGAGTCACGGAGCTGGTCCCATCCACTTTGTCCCTTTCTTGGGATTGGCAGAGGCTGGATCAGAGGGGACTCGAGGCCGTAGCCTTGTGTGGAGGCTGAGCCATTGCCAACTGAGTCCTGGGAGGCCACATTTCTGTCGCACGCAGCTGGTGCACCCTGCAGCTCCCTTACCATCCTTGGCTTCCTGGGTCCAGGGTTGCCCCATTTCTCCAGACCTGCCACCTGGCAATCTGGGTTGTCGCCCTTGTCCTCTGGAGGAGGTGCCTCCATCCAGGCCTCATTTCTCTTTGTCCAAGCCCATGGATGGGGAGGTGCCACTGAAGAGTGCAGGGGATTGGCAACACCCAGCCCCAGCCCCACCCCAGTCCTGCCCTGGTCCCTGGCTGCTGCTGACCCATGTCTGGGAAAAGGAATCCACAAGACCTCCCTCCCGGCCCCCAGCAGCGCAGCCGGAGGCCGTTGCCCTTGAGAGCACCCTAGAGAAGACCAGAGCTGCTGCTGGCCCTCCACTCGTGCTGGGCAAGGTTGGGGAAAGGTCTGGAGGTCCCTGTAGACCCCTGGGAAGCCTGACACAGCTGCCAGCCCTGAGGATCCCCTCCGAAGCCCCTCTCCAGCTTCCTCCCCTCCCCTTCTCTTTCCCTTCCTCTTGGTCCCCATCCCCATGCAGAGTGGGGAGGGGCCCTTTGGGAACGGGAGGGGACCTTCTGGACAGAGCTCAGGTCAAAAGTTTGGACTGCAGCTTCACCCCTTCCTGGGCTGTGTGGTTTGGGCAGATGATCTGACTTCTCTGGTCTTGTCTCCCCACATGGACTGTATCATGGCTCATCCTTCACTGGTTTCTAATGAGACGGAAGCATACACGTGTGTGTCAAGTGCCTGCCTGGCCCAGAGTAGGTGGCCACTAAATGCTTCTCCCACCTCTCCCCTGCCCACCCTAGTAGAGACGATGGCAGGAGAGGCAGGGTGCCCGTTGGTAAGGGTGCAGCTGCAGCACAGGGTAGCCTGGGCCTGAATCCCGCTGTGCCTCTCATCACTGTGCTCTTGGGTAAGGTGTTAACCTCTGTGCGTCTGTTTTCTTAGCTGTGAAAGAGGGATGAAAAATACTAAGGGATGAAAGGGAGTAAAAAATAATAATAAATAAGTGTATGTGTATATATATATATATATATACATACATACACACATATATACACACACACACTGGGCTAATATATATATATTTCTCTTAGTGTTGTTGTGAGGATTAGAAGAGTTTATAGAAATCTTAGACTGGCTCCTGGCACTCACTAAGGGTGGGAAACGTGCTACTATCACTGTTCACACTGGAGCGGCCGGAGCACTTGGCTGCACCTTTAGAGGCAGACTCAGACCCCACTGCTGCCCCTCACACCTTTATATTTGCCCCGTACTTGATCCTGTGTGCTGGAGGATTCTTAGGGATTGGGGAGAGAGGCACATGCACTGAGGTAGCCGTGCAGGGTGAGGGCTGAGATGCCCTCCAGCAGCCAGATGGATTAGGTCTCCTTGTGGGTTCTTTTCAGGCGGCCATCAAAGGACACAGGGCAGGCAAGGGACCTTGGGAGCCGATTCCATTTCGGAGTTCTGTAAGGGACAGGGACTAGAACCCTGGAGACGCGGGGGGTGTCACTGTGGCCCGCCTCAAGCTGTCAGCCTGCGGGGTTCTGCACTGTGCTTTGGCTACTGCGGTCTTTCTTTGCACTGCCCCAGGGGACTCCAGCAACCTCTACCTTTAATGACCTCTGCCTCTGAACTTCTTTTCAGCCCTCACTCCAAACCCAGTAATTTGCACACTGAAACTAGGAGGGGTCCCTGCCCAAGCTGCCTGTACAACTCCCCGTCACCCTTACTTTTAACCTATCCTCTCTGCTTCCCCTGCCCTCCCAGGTACCCAGGTCAGTCAGTAAACAATTCATGCACAGGTATGAGCTTTTTTTGTTTGTTTTTGTTTTTTTAATTAATCTTCACCTGAGGACATTTTTTCCCCATGACTATTAGAGAGAAAGAGGGAGAGAGAAACATCTATATGAGGGAAATATTGACCCGCCGCCTCCTGCATGCACCCCACCTGGGGAGTGAACCCACAACCCAGGTATGTGCCCCAACTGGGAACCTAACCTGCAACCTTTTGGAGCACACGATGATGCTCCAACCAACTGTGCCACTGGCCAGGGCGCCCAGGCACCAGTTTTAATGCATTCCCCTCCCAGGGCATCTCTGGAAAAGTTTCTCAAGAAAGTAATGCGTAACTCCAAAGAACGCTGTTTAAATGGAATTTCAAGCACAGTGACTGGTGCGTCAGATGGCAGTGGGCCTCTGGCCCCAGCCCAGCCTTCAGCCCAAGGTGAAGTGTGTCTCCCCGACAGTGTGGGAGGCATTCAGGCACTTTTCAGATTACGCTGCCCAGAAGCCCTGCCTTGGCCTGCACTGAACGGCATCCCTGTATTGGCTGTTGTTAACCCGAGTGCCTCTAAAATGCCAGCTTCAAGCAGGTTGGGAATTGACCCGTGTATCGAGGCCTGTGGTCACAAGAGGGCTTGGGGCAGTTGATAAGAGGTGTCAGATGTCACAGCCTTGTCCTGAATGGTGGAGGCCAGAACCCAAGGAAAGGAGGGAGACCCTCCACCCCGAGTGGGGAGTTGAGGCACCTATACTCAGAGACTTGGGAAAGCACACTTTACCTTGTGCTAAAGGTTGGGCTGGGGCCAGAGACCCAGTGCTAATAAGCTACATGCTTGGGGCAGACTCACCAGCAGCCAAAGTACCTTCATGTAAGTGCCTATCCACCTTCTGCTGAAACGACCTTTATGTCAAAGCTCAGAAGCTGTCACTGCTGCTTTCTCCCTGGAAAACACCTGTGCATCCTGCTTGTTCACTTACTAAATCCAGACCGGTGCCACACCCTCACCCTACTTCCCTTCTGGATGTGCTCAGTTCTAATTGCATTTAGGGGGAACTCCCAGTCAAAGATCAGGAAATTTTACCTTTTACCCTGCAGGCCTTGAATTATTCAGAGCTTCTTTTAAGAAACATTTTTTATTATGGAAAACTTTCAATACACAAAAATAGAACATAAGCTACCACTTACCCTACACTTTGCTGTGTGCCAGGCACTGGGCTAAGCACTTTATATGCATTAACTCCTTTAACCCTCACCATGACCTATGAAGGGGGCATCATTATGACCCAGTTTACAGCTAGTCTGCAAGACTGGGAGGGAGGATCAGAAGGGACAATGGAAGCGAAAACTGGACTCTGAGCCCCAGAGCTGTGTGTGTCTATGCCCATGGCCCATTGCAGATTGGGTGTCGAGCCCAGGAGCCCATTTAAAGTGAGATTTCAGCCCTCACCAGTGTGGCTCAGTTGGTTGGGTATCATCCCACAAAGCAAAGGGTCACCGGTTCCTGGCCAGGTCCCCTGAATGTGCCTTGGCTGTGGGTTCGGTCCCAGTTGGAACACAGGAAGGAAGCAATCAATTGATGCTTTTCTCTCACATTGATGTTTCTGAACCTCTCTTCTTCCCTTCCTCTCAAAAAACAAAATCTTATTTTAAAAAAAGTGAGATTTCATACTGACACATCTCTGTCCAGTGTGCCAAGATCTGCTGCCTGCTATAATAGTGTAATAACATGCAATAAATAATGAATATAGTCTTAGGGATGACTATAATCATCGCGTGTGTCCAGGCTCAATGGTCTGAGGCTATCTGGGTGAGGCAGGGCAGGGGCACAGGCCTGACATGCCGGTTCTCCAGAAGCCAGTTTGGTGTAGTGGACATTGTTCATTAAAGGATTTCCCTCCTCTGGGTCTAAGACCTGAAATGAGGAAGACACCCACTTGCATACCCTGCCTTGGTTGGGGATGGCTTACCAAATGTGGAGACAAACGAGCTTTCATGTCATCAGCTCATGTATTTATACAGTATATATTTTGTACCTACTGTGCGCAGAGTACTGGGGAAGGCTTTGGAGACACAATAATACAGCAAAGACCCACCCTAAGAGTCCCCTTCCCCCACCCATTATTTCCAGTACAGTAATGAGCGGTGTAAGGGAACGTTCTGAAGCATGGGTAGGGATGGATGGGGAGACAAGTATGGTTTTGATCAGTTAGATACCATTAATCATTGTAACACCGAAACCCTGGAAAACAGTAACACTTAGAGCTGGTAGGGAATAAGAAAAACATTACAATGGCACCTACCAGAAAGGCTAAAATGAAAGTGTCTTGACAGGCCCTGGCTGGGTAGTTGGTTGGAGCGTCGTCCTGATGCACTGAGGTTGCCAATTTGATCCTTGGTCAGGGCACATACAGGAATCAACCAATGAATGCATGGATGGGTGGAACAACAAATCAATATTTCTCTCTCTCAATAAATAAGTAAATAAATAAAAAATTTAAGAAAAGTGTTTGACAAGATCAACTGTTGGTGAAAATATACAGCAACGAATGCTCATGAACTGTTGGGGGCATGTAAGTTGGTATGTACCCTTTAGCAAAACTGGCAGTACCTACTAAAGCTAAATACACGCATAACCTATGACTCAGCAGTTCCACCCTTGGGTATGTACACAGCAGCAACAAGAGTTCCTGCCTACCAAGATATGTGCAAGAATGTCTCTAATGGCACTGTTTGTGATACCTTCAAACGGGCATCAACTCGGATATCTATTCCCAGTAGCACGGATGTGTAAGTGGCGGTAAAGTCACACAGGGGAATGCTGGTATACAGCCATGAGCATGAATGAACACGAATGCACATAACCATAGGGACATATCTCATAGGATGTTGAGCAAGAGAAGTCAGTATACACAAAAATATGCTCACTGTATGATTCCATTCATGTTAAAAGTACAGAAATAAGCAAAACTGGTCCATGGCATTGAAAGTCAGAATGGTTACATTTGGGAGAGAGTCTCCAACCCCTGCAGGTCAGGGACCCCAAATTGTGGTGGTTCTGTCCCGTGTCGCTCACATCAATGGACGAGATTGTTCCATAAAGCAGGTCAGGAACTTTATTCGTTGGCCAAGAAATGGAGAAGGATAATTCAATGCTGTAATGATTCCTCCTTCCTGATTCTGGGGAATTAGGAAAGTATAAAGGGTCTTGGGGGAAGGAGGCAGGTTCAAGAAAGGATTTTTGAGGAAGGGTGGTGGGTCCTCAGCTTCCAAGGGAGCATGGCCAGTCCTCAAACATGCTTGGACCATGCCTAGTCATCGCCTGTATCATTTTAATGTTAAATCTGCACCCGAGTGGTATTTTCAGTATGCTAATTTAAAAAGTTTATCAAAGGTCACTTGGAAAGGGGTTTCAGCTGCTATCTTGGATTTTTCTGGCATGAACTGGTTTCTTGGTGGTGGTCCCTGGGTTCTTTATCTGATTTCCTGCTGGCAGGCTCAGCTAGCCCTGGAATTTCCACCTTTTCTTGACAAATTCGGCCTGCTTTTGTCAGAGGATGTGTTGGAAAGAGTACAAGAAAGTAGAAGTTTAAAGATTAACCGATGATGTGGTGGCACAACCCAGTGACAACAGAACCGAAAGGGACGTGGGTGGGGGGTGGCTCTACCTCCCGATTTGGGTTTTGGTTTCATGCATATGCTCAGTCTGTTTCCGGACTCCCTGTTGGAGATATGGAAGGAAACCAAGATCATTCAAATGAGAACAAATAGGCTATTCATTCAGAACTTGCAGGAGTCGGCCACCATCAAGTGCATTTGGTAGGGAGGCACTCAAAGAATCTGAAACAGTATTTAGTAATCATGTTGTTGAAAATTATATTGGAATTTTTATTCTGAAACTATCATTTATTAGCATATTTAATGATAAAGCAAAAAAGTAGTGAATGTTGTTAAGAACTTAGATTTTCAGGTAAAAGAGAAATATTACACCAAAAAAATTAAGTAAAAACTCTGTAACCTTACAAACAGATGGCTGATGTGGCTCAGTGAATTGAGCACCGGCCTGTGAACCTTGTGAACCGAAGGGTTGCTGGTTGGATTCCCAGTCAAGGCACATGCCTGGGTTGAGAGCCTAGTCGTCCCCCAGTAGGGGGCGCGCGAGAGAGGCAACCGCACATTGATGTTTCCCTCTCTTCCCTTTCTCTAAAAATAAACAAAATATTTTTTTAAAAACCTGGAAAATAAATTCATGATCCGGTTTTCTCTTTGAAAATGTATTTTGTAGTCCTACTCACCTAAAGAGCCTGGAAACAATGAACAACACAATAGCAGTGAGCACTTCTAGTGGCTTTGAAATACCATTGCTCATTGAAAAGGAGCAATTACTCCTTGGAGAAATTGCTAATTCAGGATCTGGACAGAGCTGAGGTTGGAAACTTATCAAACCAAAAGAAAAAAAATGAGGCTACTTAAGACTACTAGAGTCATGTTTAAATGAATATGGAATTATTCTGGAGAACTTTCATTGGCCAAATGTGGGACAATTTGTACATCAAAGTAGATTGAAATTCATCAAAAATGTTTCTACAATGTGTAAGTTCATAATAATACTAAAAAGAAAATAATTCATTAGATGCTTCTACAGGATGCTAGGAAACCACTTCATTCTGAGACTGGTGAATGAAAAGAATCAATTGTGCCTTTCTATACTTCAGAATAAATAGAGTCAATGAGGGAAGGTTCTTCATTACCAGAGAATTATACTTATTGGGTGCAGAAGAAACAATAAAATTAGAATATCACAATTTTGGACTATGTCATCATTAGTCAATATCATGAATAGCTGCTATAACCAGTAGGTGAAAAGCTGATGGAGAACTTTATTAAGGATGAAACAGTTTCAGGATCCCTGTCCCAACAGACCAATATTAACACCTCAAAAACAGATCATAATGAAAATATGTCGTTAATGTTATGAAGTAGGATTTTCCTGGTGAGATGAATAGATGTAATAGCATCACCTGTAAA